TCCGACAAAAAAAAAAAAATTAAATAATAATAATAATAATAATTTTAAAATTCCTTGTACTTCTTTTTTGCTTACCCCCCCCCCCCGTTTTGTTTTTTTTAATTTTCTCTTTTCTCCCATTTTTTTTTTTTTTTTGAAAATAACGCAAGCGTCAATTTTTCAACCTTGTGATTTCAATTTATAACACGTTACTAAATTTTTTTTTTTTTTTATATTTATTTTTATTTAGTCCGTTACCTTTTTTCTTTTTATTTTCGGTTTTTCTTTTTTCTTTTCTTTTTTTTTTTTTTTTAGTTTTTCATTAAAAAACTTTTTTTGTTCGACGACGTCGACGACGACGACTCTTGTAACAACAATCATTGGATTATTATTAGGTTAACTGGTAAGTGATGTCGTTTTTTTGCGGTCACGTGACCCTTTTTTAAAAAGGGCAAAAATAACGGTTTTTCTTTTTTTTTTTTTTAATGTTGTTTAATTAATCCGTTTGTTTTCAATAATGTTGATTAATCTTTAAAAGGTCACGTATAACAAACAAATTATTGTCTTGATTCGTTCCTGTCACACCTGGATTTTACCTGGATTGGGCATGATGATGTGTTGTTGTTGTCTTTCTTTTTAATAACTTTTTTTATAAATTTTTAATGTTTTCTCTCTCTCTCTCTCTCTCTCTCTCTCTCTTCCTCTCAGTAAAATTTAAATGTTTATAAATAGTAACAAAAAATTTTTAATTAATCAGTTGATTAATTTTTCAAATAATAAAATGGTCGCATGGGATTTAAATAAAAAAAAAAAAAAGAACAACAAAAAAAAATTCTTTTCTTTTTAACAAATACAAGTTTGTCAATCAACCTTGTTGAAATAGAAGATTAAAAAAAAAAAAAAAAATTTCCGTTAGATAAAAAAAAAAAAATCTCTGTTGTAATGCAGTTAATTTAATTATGTCGAATTACTTTCACAAAAGGAAGTAAGTAACCATAGATGTATTATTTAAACTTTTGGGGATAATTTTTATACCGTATCAGTCTATACCTTTATTCCTTTGATTTTGATTATGTTTGTCTCCATAATTTTAAAGTTTTTTAACTTGTTTTCGGTTACTTCTTCTTCTTCTCTTCGAAGAAGTTAGTATGATTGTTTGGAAAAACGTTCGAGGTCATTTTGCTGTATGTACATAATGTATTTATACATATTATTGTTGTTATTAAAAATATTCCTATGGCCGCCCTTTGACTTTCCTTTTAACATGCGCATTTATAAATTCACACAACGTGTATGCCAAAATAATTAAGAAATTTGTTTCTTTGAGCTAAAAATGTCTGCTAGGCTTTTTGGCATAAAAATTGGCAACTCCGGCGTTCCCGGGGATAAGAGATTATCTGCTCCGATTTTTACATTACTCTTTCGGCTAACGTACACTTCGGACTTGACTGTAAGTTATTATCGATACATTTTTATTTTTTATTTTTTTAATTACTTATAATTATTAATTAATTTTTTTTATTTAATTATAATAATAATAATTAAACAATACAAAACTAACATTTTGATTTGATTTATTTATTTTTTTTCATTAAATTAAATTTTATTGCCGTACTTTTTTTTTTTTTTTTTTCGAATTGCAAATATAGAGGTTAAATGATGTAATATTCGCGCGCGAGGTACGTTCAGAAATCTCACGTTTGAGATAGCCAATCACAAAATTCCACCTGCTAACCATTCGTATTGGGATACCGTGTTTAAATTTTAGTGATGAAATATTTTATTTGTAGTTTTTAGGTAATTGTACTCTGATTCACGATTGACGTATTTTTTTTTATAAGAAATTTGATTGTCATTAAAAAACCAGTCAGATTTTTAGAGAATAATATTATGTGACGTTCATTTTCATTGTAGTTTAAAATAAGAACATGTGGAGCGTTGTGTTCGGTTTCACGATTCTGGGTAATAGTAAAGAATAAGACACTTTAGCTCAAGAGGTTTTTTTTTTTTTTTTATTTTTTTTTTATTTTGTACTTTTTCTATTGACGAAACAAATAATATAATGAAATAAAATTAGGTTGCACTAATTAAATATTGCACGTTGTAATTATAGTATTTATTAATAAATATAAGTGTTAGTCAATGAGAGTGCGGAACAATTTTTTTTTATTAAAGTGATAATATATATTAAGTGATATATTTGGATATACAATAAATCTGGCGATTTGCATCGTGCTCATGCATATATTTTTTAAGTGAGTTATTTTAGTTTATTTCGGTTTTAACGTGAAAATAAATAATTGTAAAAATTTTTTACCGTGTAATGTTGCTAAACGATGCTCATTTTCATTTTATCGAATTAAATAGTGAATTCGAACGAAAATATAAGTTTGAGGTTATGGCCGTATAGTTATCGTAGTTGCCACGATATATTGAAAATCTTCGAAACTTCTTTTAGAGGGCGTTGACTCGTCGACGTTTCCAAGTACTTTATGAATATTTTTCTTATTTTGCACTTTTACAATTCAATTATTTCACTCACAAATTAATTAATATTTTATGAAATTATTTATGCCGGAAGTGGTTTGGCTATATTACAAACGCAATCAAAGGAATTATAATACTTGATTTTCTGGTATTCACTCATTCAAATAATTACAGCATCTAATGCAAGAGATGAAAATTTATTCAAATTCTAACCATAAACTTTTAGAATTTCATTGTAATTTCTATTGTTAAAATAACTCAGCACATTCATTTTTTTACAGTCTTTTTGGGTTTGTGAAATTGTATCTGTAAATTCTAACATTGAATTGAACTATGTGTTCTATTGATCGTCAGACTCTCAATAAAAAACATGACATGTGAGATAATGATTGAGTAATGACTTGTCACATTGTTTCTAATTATATTGAAAAGAAGAAGAAGAAAAAAAAAAAAATGGAAAAAAGTAAATGGTATTTACTTTTGTCAAGCTATTTTTAAAAGCTCTGGCACATATCCAAATTGTGCCTAGAACTTTAATCTTCATGTACTGCCCTCTCTGAGACTGCAGAAATTTACACGAGTGTACATTTGTCATATATAAGTTACAGTAAAGCTATACTGCTTTTACTTAACATTGTATATTCATTTATATTTTCTCGAATGAATAGAAAATCGTTTGTGTTAATTTGACATATTATTTATTTTGCTGCAGGTATTGTCGTGGTTCATTTTTTTTTTTTTATTCATTAATCGACAATTATTGTTTTGTTTTTGAAAAAAATTAAATTTACCATTTAACTAAATTAAAAATTTTTTTTTTCTGTTATTTCTATTTGTCGAAGCCTAAATATATCACAGATAGATCTAAAAAAAAATGAATAAACAAAAATATATGAGAGGGGAAAAAAGAAAGCTTTTGTCTCGATTTGATATTTTTTCGATAAACTTTTTTTTTTTTTTTTATCTTAAAGTTTTTAATTAAATCCTTGGAATTGGTCACAATATTAACAAGGTTAAGGTCCTTCTTTCTATATTTAGTTTGACCAAAAGTAATATTTCAACTTTTTTTACTTTTAAAAAAAAAAAAAAAATTTTGTCATGTGGCTGGGTTTAAATATAAATTTTTGTTTTTTTGTTTTTTTCCCCCCCACCCCACCCCTCTTAAGTCTTTATGTCATTGTGTAGGTTTTAACATGTAATTTTACAACTGATAAAAAAGCTTTTCTTTCTTTTTGGTTTTTTTTTCGTTAATGAAATTTAAATGAATTCAGGTCTCATTATATTGTATTTCGAAGCCACTATAGGTAGGTGACAGGTGATATTTTAGGCTTTAAAAAAATTTTTTTTTTCTAAATTTGTTGGAAATGAGGAAAAAAATTTTTTTAAAAGAAAAAAGTATTTGAAATGTTGAATTTTAATTTTAATTTTTGTTTTTTTTTTTTTTTTTTTATGGCACAATTGTAAATGTTACAAATATTTTTACATTGAAAAAGTTGTTTGAAAAAATTTTTTTTTTTAAATGATATAGGTGTTAGTCGAGTAGTTAGTATTGTCTCTTTGAAAATTTGTTATTATTTACTTTTCAAATATTTAGTTGAAGTGTTTGATTACAAAATTTGATTTAAAATAATAAATGATTCTTATTTTCCTTGTTTAAAAAAAGAAAAGAAAATTTCCCATATTGTTTTTTTTTTTTGTACGACAACAGAGATTTCAAAAAAAAAAAAAAAACTAAGAACTTTATCATATTTCTTTATCGTTCACCTAATTTCATCGACCTGTTCTCTATGTATATGATATTCTCTCTCTCTCTCTCTCTCTCTCTCTTTTCATTAGCATTAAAAATTTTTCAAATTTGGCGATTGTTCACTTTTTGTCCTTAAAAAAAAAAAACTAGGAATATTTTGTTTTATTAAAATTAATGAAACGTAATTAACAAGTTTATTTAAATTTTATGTTTTCCTGTTTTTTTTTTTTTTTTTTTTTTTTTTTTTAAATAATTATTGGGATCCTAGTATTTATTTATTTTTTTATTTTTTTTACCTGTAATCTGACCTTCTCAATCCCCCCGTTTTCATTCATCAATTTTTTTTTTTTTTTTTTTTTTTTTTTTCCCCCCCCCCCCCCCCATTGACGTCAAAATAAAAAAGGAAAAACAAAAAAAAACCAAAAAAAAAAAAAAAAAAAAATTTAAAAATAACTGTTGCGTTTTCGTTTTTTTTAAAATTATTATTCGAGCAACTGAAAAATAAAAAAAAAAAAAAACCATTAATTTTGTTTTATTATTGGTATTATTATTATCATTTTTTATTTATTTAATTTTTTTTTTTTATTTTAAACGCCAAAGGTTTCGACTTTTTCATCGAGATTTTTTTTATTTTTTTTGTTAACTTAATCATCGCCAACGTGAAAAATTAAATTTTTTTTTTTTTGTTTGGTTTTTCTTACAGAAATTGCCGAAGATACGGAAGCCGGTGGATGTTGATGAGCCGGTGTTGATAACAAATACTTGAGAACAACTCAAGTGAGCCATCATGGAAGACGCTCACACGAAAACAGCAACAGAAGTTCTTAATTATTTTGGTACGGACGTGGAAAGGGGTCTGTCACCGGATCAGGTTAAAAGAAACCAAGAAAAATATGGTTTGAATGGTAAGTAAGTCAATATTTCAATAACGATGACGACGATGATGATGATGATGATGATGATGACGATTGAATGATGTTTACGACGACGTTTTTTTTTTTTTTTTCACAAAAGAATATACACACAAAAGAATTTGTTGAGGTCGTCGAGGCTTTGTATTTAAAAAAAAAAAAAAAAAAAAAACGTTCGATTCAGCAAATTCGTACCTTAAACCTTAAATCGTTTCCGTTTTCCCCTTCCCCCCTTCCCTTTTTTTTTTTTTTGTTTTCGTCGTTGGTATGTCTGATATAGGCGATGTTTTTTTTTATTTTTTAAGGAAGGGCCCCCCCGAAGAAAAATTACTAATTTTTTAATTGGTTCCCCTTCGATTAGAAATTTCCCGAAAATAATAATAATAATAAAAGAAAAGAGCAGACAAGGCCGGAATCGTTTTTTTTTTTTTTTTTTTTATCGTATCATAAAATAAACATGAAACTTGCGGAAAATTGTAAAATTAGTGAAATGGAGTGAATGAATGATATATACGCCTACCTTGGTCGTGCGCGATCCTCACGTGTTTTCTTCTGTTGTTGTTATTATTATTATTATTATTAATATTTTTGTAAACTTTATTCTCCTCGAATAATGCGAATAGGAAAAAATGTGTGTGTCGTCAAGCAAGAGAACAATAATAATAATAATATTTGCTAACGTCGAATTTTTATTTGTTATTAAATTTAAATTTAAGTCACTTAACAAGCCTTATAATAAATATTCCCGCCATTTTTTTTTTCACGTTACTTTTTTTAGAAAATATTTTTAGGTGAAGGGAAAAGTCAGTCAGTCAATTTTTGTAACAAATTTAATTTTTTTTTTTTTTAAAAATAAAAATGAAGGAAAAAGGAATTTGTTCGTCCATTTATAAAAAAAAAAAAAAAAAAACAAAATGGCGGATAAAAATATCTCTCTTGTCCGAGTCAAAAGTTTAATATTATTATTACTATTTTTTTTTGTTTTTGTGTTTCGACGAAATCGAAATTGGCTCGAAAATTAAATTGGACAAGGTTTTGACACAGGTTTCAGTGTCAGGTGAAATGAAAATTTTTTTTTTTTTTTGGGGAGTAAAAGGTTTCGATGAAAGGGGAGGACGGGGAGAAGAAGGAGGCGTTCGAGACGTTTAAAGTTAATTATTTATTATTATCATTATTTTTCTTTTTTATTAAGCTTAAAGATTAAAAAGAGAGAGAGAGAGAGAGAGAGAGAGAAGATGTTATCGAGGTATTTTTATTTAAATAAATGCGAACCAGTTGTTTTGGTCAAATTTTTTTTTTTTTTTTTTTTTTTTTGGCAATGTATAATCGGGTTAGAACTTCAAAAGAGACTGACTGACTTGTGTATCGCAAAAAATTTTAGCGTTGAAATTTTTCACGGGCGGAAAGAAAAAAAAAAAAAAAATTAAAAAAAGGGAGCAAAACGGGAAGGCCGGGGGGGGGGGGAGTTTATTTGGCGTTCGAAAAAAAAAAAAAATTAAATTTTTACCCTTGACGATGCGAACGGTTTTTTTTTTTTTTTTCTTATGCGAAGAGGGGGGGGGCGTTCGTGCGTGCGTGCGTGTGTGCGTGCGTGCGTGACCTTAATTGTAGGGAGGGGGTTTTATTCTCGGGTAAAACCAAATGGGAAAAATATGTTTTCTCTTTTTTATCCTCGAGCTTTCAAAATTTTATTTTGCAAAAACCTTTTCCTTGAACTCCGGTTACACACACGATGACTTTTTTTTTTTTTTTTTTTTTTTTTTTTTTTTAAATTGATATCAAGTTGAAATTCCCCATAACTTTTATTTACGTCACAAAAATGATTTCGTTTCGAACGGTTCCCCTTAATGTTTTTTTTTTTTTGTCTCAAAACGGCCGGGCGTAAAATAAAAATAAAATAAAATAATAATAATAATTATAATTAGCCTTGTTTTAATAATATGAGCGAGCTTTTAATTATGAATCACTGATTATGACGATGGTGAATGCGAAGAGGATGATGATGATGATGATGATGATGACGTAGATGACGACGGGGAAGAAGATGATGATGATGATGATGATGATGATGGTGTTGTTGATGGTTTTTTGCGGTGAAAATTTTTTTTTTTCGATTAAAAGAAAAAAAAAAAAATTAAAAGCTTTGTTTGTATATGTATTCCTAATGAAAAATATTTTTACGAGTTTTTAGCTATTATAAAAAAGATTAAAAGTTTTTTTTTATGAAGACTCTGTCTGTCTGTCTCTCTCGCTCTCGCTCTCTTTATCTCTTTTATTATTTTTCATTTACCGATTATGATTTTGTAGGAAAAATTTCACGTTCGAAACAACGAAAACAAAAAGAGTCGAACGAAATGCGTGACGTGAAAAAAATACGTTGAAAAAATATTTAAAAAGTTTTTTTAATTTTTTTTCCATTTTTGATTGATTTGTTGACCAATAAAAATAAATATATAATATGAAAATGATGAGAAAAAAAAAAGCTGTGGAGGAGAAAAAATGACAATTAATTTCGCTGTTGTACAATTATACAACAACGAAATCGTTTGTTGTAAATGTTAGAAATCAATCTTGGCAAAATAAAATTTTTTTTTGTTTTTTTTTTTTTTTTTACATTTGCTAAAATCAATAAATTATAGTTTGGTTTTTTTTTTTTTTGGGGGGGGGAGTACAAATCTAAACAAAAAACTCGATTGAAAATTTTTTTAATTCGAAATAAAAAAAACAAAAAAAAATAAATTTCTAAAAACATTTTATTTATTTATTTATTCATTTCGTTTCTTTTTTTGTTTGTTTCAGAATTGCCAGCCGAAGAAGGTGAGTTTTTTATGTTAAATTTTCTTTTTTTCTCTCTTTCTCACACTCTTTTGTTTTTTCATTTATTTATTTAAAAGAAAATTTTGCAAATTCGTGCGAAGACGTGTTCAAAAATTAAAAATGAATTTTTTCTTCACGTTTCAGGAAAATCAATATGGCAACTCGTCATCGAGCAATTCGACGATCTTTTAGTCAAAATTTTATTACTCGCTGCTATCATATCTTTTGTAAGTATTATCACGTCATAATAATTCCGACGCATTGTCTTTATTCGTTCTTTCGAATTCGAGTAAAAAAATCTTTCGATCCGTCTTTGGATGGATGCTTCAAGTGGGATTTGAATCCCGGTGGTGTGTGTGCGTGTGCGAGTGCGGTGATGGATGAATGAGTACTTGTGGTTAAATTCTATCCGAACCCTAAAAAAAAAAAAGAAAAAAGTTAAAGCGAGAAGAAATAAATAAATATTCATTGTATGTAATTAACGTGGTTTTTTAGATTTTAGGCCCTTCGCGAGCATGTGCGCGGGAAATTCCAGGTTTTCGCGATTTTTAATTAAATTCGAACGTAGCGTTAGTTTCTTTCTCCCCCCCTCCTCCTTTCCGATATTTTACCCATAAATTTATACATACATGCGTAAGTACACATGCGAAGCAACATGTTGGAAAAACATTTTTTTTTTTTTTTTTTTTTTCAATTTTACAACTTGAAATCGGTTTTGAATATATATTTTCGTTTCGGATTATATACTTCCTATTTATCTCGTGACGTTTATCAATGTTACAGTGACGTTATTAGGATTTGAAAAAAAATTAAGTCGGTTTATTAAATAATAAATAATCCATAGACTAATAATACTCCATTTGAATTCGTTGCATATTTTCTCATAATGAAAATTATTATCATTATTATTATTATTATTAATTAAGTAATAGATGGAAAAATGTTACAGTTGATTGTTTAGTAGAGAGAGAGAATATTAATGAGTAGTTGAAAAGCGTTATTGTATTAAAATCATCGTAATATGAAGGATGATGACGTATTTATCGATACGATCGATACGATCGATCGATCGATCCATCGAATCGATCAATTCATCCGTAACAGGTTTAGTTTCAGCTGTTCAAACGAACACGAGAAATTCTTTTTAAAATAAAATAAATAAATAAAAAAAAAAATAAGTTTGCAGTCGGTTCGGTCATGGCAAAATTTTTAAATATTTAACCCAATTGCCTATCTGCCAAATCTTTCTTACTTCTGCCATTTTGTTTTTTTTTTAAATTTTTTTTTCTCTCTTCTCTTCTCGTAAAATCATATTCTCGGTTGCTGTTAATTCACCTTACTCTTCTTTTTCGTAATAAATCACTTTTGAACACGCGCTCACACACCACCTACGCGTATACGCATTGTGTAAAAGTAAATCCTTGGTTTTTTTGGGGGTGGGGGAGGAAGAGGAGGAGGGAGGAAATGAGCTGGCAAAAAGAAACTGTCGAAATCGAAAGAAAGAAAATGAAACGGATTTCATTATATTATCATTATCAAAAAATTTTTTTTCCTTTTTTTTTTTTTCGTTTTCTTTTACGTCATGTTTTCATACGTCGTCGACGTATTAATATTCATAATTAAAATAATTATTATGCGAAAACATACGTAAAAAGCCTTCGATTTTACTTTTTTTGTAAATAATATTTGTCGTGTTGTTTCCGTACGTGAACGAAAAATGTTGTTAACAATCATTACGAAATGATACAACGAATATATTATTAATATTATTATTATTATCATAATACTTGTATGTAACCTGTCCGGTTTTGACTTTATCGGTCGATCAATATATATATAAAAAAAAAACTATTTTAATTATTTCGACAATTCACCGATGATGTGTGGGGTTCATTAATTAAATTAAATTAAATTTCATTAGTCATGTAGTCATTATTATTATTTTCACCTGTTTGTTTCCAGTTTCTTCAAAATTTTTTTTTTTTTTTTTTTTTTTTTGGGATGTAAAACAAACAAACAAATGAAAATGATCGATTGTTGTTTTTGTTGTCGTCGTAATCGAATTAGTGTTGTACGTGTACGCACTTTTCGTATTTTTTTTTTTAAACTCTTGCGAAAAATAATTATTAGGGATTAAGGCAGGTGTTGATAGGCAGGCCAACAACAACAACAACAACAATACCAACATCGATATCAACAATCGTATAAATTGTTTTGTTGTTGTTGTTGTTTTGTTTTTGAAGTAATTATTACGACGAGCTATTAAAACGAAAAAATTGTTTTTTTTTTTTTGCGTTTGCGTTTGCGTTTACGAGAAAATTTATCGAATGAAAACCAAAAGAAAATTTTTTTGTTTTTGCGGTATCGCCGCCGCCATTTGACGATTTTTTTCGTTTTGCATTTTACGATTAAAAATAATAAATGATTATTTGGCTGTAAAAGAAAGAAAGAAAAAAAAATTAATTGCGTCTTTATGTCGGTTCTGATAAATCTTTTTTTTTTTTTTTTGAATCTTATCACTAAAAAAACATGAGTTGACTTAGTACTATTGATACGTTTTTAAAAAATGTGTGAAAAATGAATAAATTATTATTATTATTATTATTTATTTTGTTTTTTTTTATTGTCTTGTTCAGGTTCTTGCTTTATTTGAAGAACACGATGATCAAATCACAGCTTTCGTCGAACCTTTTGTTATTTTGCTCATTCTTATTGCAAATGCAGTGGTCGGTGTTTGGCAGGTGAGTTTATGATTTACATACTCAGAACTCGAACTTGTTGTGTAAATTGTTGTTTATCATTATTATTGTTATTTTTCTCTTTTTTCTCCAGGAAAGAAATGCCGAATCTGCTATTGAGGCTTTGAAAGAATACGAACCCGAAATGGGTAAAGTTATCCGGTCCGATAAAGCCGGTGTACAAAAAGTCCGTGCCAAGGAAATCGTCCCCGGAGACATTGTTGAAGTTTCCGTCGGTGACAAAATTCCCGCTGATATTAGGCTTGTTAAAATTTATTCAACTACTCTCAGGATCGATCAGTCTATATTGACTGGAGAATCTGTATCCGTAATTAAACACACGGATCCCGTACCCGACCCCAGGGCTGTGAATCAGGTTCGAAATTTTTATCATATATTGTTCGCCTTTTCCTCTTCGAATGAGGAACGGGGAGGCTCATTTGTTTTTTAGTTTCTTCGATTATTTAATTTTTGAAAAAAAAATTCAAATTTTTTAGGATAAGAAAAATATTTTGTTCTCTGGTACGAATGTTGCCGCTGGTAAAGCGAGAGGAGTTGTTATCGGCACCGGTCTCAACACCGCTATCGGTAAAATCAGGACAGAAATGTCAGAAACCGAAGAAATCAAAACACCTCTCCAACAAAAATTGGACGAATTCGGTGAACAACTTTCCAAAGTTATTTCGGTCATTTGTATCGCTGTTTGGGCAATTAACATTGGTCATTTCAACGATCCCGCACACGGTGGATCTTGGTTAAAGGTATAAAATGAAAATTTCTTTTTTCCTTTTTTTTTTTTTCGTAATAGTAATTCTGCAACGCTGCAGTAGTTAAAATAATAATAATAATAATTTCTTTTTCGAAAGGGTGCTGTTTACTATTTCAAAATTGCTGTCGCCCTCGCTGTTGCTGCCATTCCAGAAGGTTTACCTGCCGTAATTACAACTTGTTTGGCTTTGGGTACCCGTCGTATGGCCAAGAAAAATGCCATCGTCAGATCTCTTCCATCCGTAGAAACGTTAGGTTGCACATCGGTTATTTGCTCAGACAAAACTGGAACCCTTACCACGAATCAAATGTCGGTCAGCAGAATGTTCGTTTTCGACAAAGTTGACGGAAATGATTCATCATTTTTAGAATTTGACATCACTGGATCCACTTACGAACCCATCGGTGACGTATTTTTGAAAGGACAAAAAATAAAAGCTTCCGATTACGATGTCTTGCAAGAACTTGGTACCGTTTGCGTTATGTGCAATGACTCCGCCATTGATTTCAACGAATTCAAACAAGCTTTCGAAAAGGTTATTATTTACTCACAGTAAGACAAATAATTTTTTTTTTTTTGCCTAAATAAAAGTTCTAACGTGATCACGTGGTTTTTTGTTTGTGTATTGCTACTAAAGGTCGGAGAAGCTACCGAAACGGCTTTGATTGTATTGGCTGAAAAAATGAATCCCTTCCAAGTTAACAAGAGTGGATTGGACAGACGATCCGGTGCTATCGTTGTCAGACAAGAAATCGAAACAAAATGGAAGAAGGAATTCACCTTGGAATTTTCTAGAGATCGTAAATCAATGTCTTCTTATTGCGTACCTTTAAAACCCAACAAATTAGCTCCAGGTAATTTAATTGAAATTTTTTTTTTTTTTTTTTTTTTACAAATCGAAGCACATCATTTTTTTTGTACGCAAAATTAATTTTTTTTTTATTTTAGGTCCTAAATTATTTGTTAAGGGTGCTCCTGAAGGTGTACTCGAGAGATGTACTCATGCCAGAGTCGGAACTCAAAAAGTTCCTCTCACATCAACCCTCAAAAATAGAATTTTGGAACTTACTAGACAATACGGTACCGGTCGTGATACACTTCGTTGCCTTGCTTTAGCCACAGCTGATAATCCCATTAAAGCCGAAGAAATGGACCTTGGCGACTCAACCAAATTCCACGAATACGAAGTCAATCTTACTTTTGTTGGTGTAGTCGGTATGTTGGATCCTCCTCGTAAAGAAGTCGCTGACGCCATTTCAAGGTACACGCAAATAAAAAAAAAAAAAAGTGCACGGAGTAAAATTTCAAATTAAAACTTTTCAAATTTAATTAATTGAATTTGTTTACAGATGCCGAGCTGCCGGTATCCGTGTTATTGTAATTACTGGTGACAACAAAGGTACTGCCGAAGCCATTTGCAGACGAATTGGAGTTTTCGGCGAAGATGAAGACACCACCGGAAAATCTTATTCTGGAAGAGAATTCGACGACTTACCTGTTTACGAGCAAAAGGCTGCTTGCGCTAGAGCTAGGTTGTTTTCTAGGGTCGAACCCGCACACAAATCTAAGATTGTTGAGTTCTTGCAAAGTATGAATGAAATTTCTGCTATGGTGAGTTTAAGAATTTTAAAACGGTCAATATTATCGAATCGAAAGGGTTTCGAGTAAAAAAAAAATTTTATGATAATAGACGGGAGACGGTGTAAATGATGCTCCAGCTTTGAAAAAAGCCGAAATCGGTATTGCCATGGGTTCCGGAACTGCTGTCGCCAAATCTGCATCCGCTATGGTTTTAGCTGATGATAACTTCTCAAGTATTGTGTCTGCCGTAGAAGAAGGTCGTGCTATTTACAATAATATGAAACAATTTATCCGTTATCTTATTTCTTCCAATGTGGGTGAAGTCGTCAGGTACGAAGGAAAATTTAACATGAAAAATTTTCCCATTTTCTCGCACATAAAAAAAAAAAAAAAAAAAAAAAAAAAAATAAGAAAATTTTTTTTTAGAACTATAAAAAAAATTAATTAAAAAAATTTTTGGATTTTAGTATTTTTTTGACAGCCGCTCTCGGTTTGCCAGAAGCTCTTATTCCAGTGCAATTGTTATGGGTCAACTTGGTCACTGACGGTTTGCCAGCTACGGCTTTGGGTTTCAATCCTCCCGACTTGGACATCATGGAGAAACCACCGAGAAAATCTGATGAATCTTTGATTTCCGGTTGGTTGTTTTTCCGTTATTTGGCCGTTGGTGGTTACGTAGGAGCCGCCACCGTCGGAGCTGCTGCTTGGTGGTTTTTGTATTCACCGGATGGACCTCAAATCACTTACTGGCAATTGGTATAATCAAATTTAGATTTTTAATTTTAATTTTTTGTATTTCATGACTGTCATCCGTCATTCATTCATATACATCATTAATTTTTGTTTTTTTTCTTTTTACTTTACATAAAAGACTCATCATTTGTCTTGCGCTGCGGGTGCTCCGGAATTCAAAGGTGTCGATTGCAGGATATTTAACGATCCTCACCCAATGACGATGGCCTTATCCGTATTGGTAACAATTGAAATGTTGAACGCAATGAACAGCTTGTCTGAAAATCAATCTCTTCTTACAATGCCGCCATGGTGCAACGTTTGGTTGTTGGCTTCAATGGCCTTGTCTTTCTCTCTTCACTTTGTTATTCTTCATGTTGAATTTTTATCGGTGAGTTGAAGGATTTTTCACTTTTTTGTTTAAAAATTATCGATGAGAATTTTTAGGTTTAATTTTTGTTTAATTTTATTTTCTTTCTTTCTTTCAGACTGTGTTCCAAGTCACCCCGTTAGATTTCGACGAATGGATAACAGTTATGAAATTTTCAATACCCGTCGTGCTACTGGATGAAACTCTTAAATTCGTAGCCCGGAAATACACAGACGGTAAGGGATATTTGTCAGGGATTCACGGAGTTCTGCTAATGTGGGTTGTTTTTGCGCTCCTTATATGGCACGGACCCATATAAAACCATAGCAGAATTTATTAAAAAAAAAAAACACACACACACACACACAAAAACAAAAACAAATACAAACACACATACTTATTCATATATGCATACACGTGAAAAAAAAAAAAAAGGGGAGGAAAATTAAAACCAAATCAAAATGGCGAAATTGAATGAATTTTAATTTTAAGAAACCAAAAAAATAATAATAATAAAACACAAAAAAAAAAAAACAAAAAATTAAAAAAGAAAAAAAAAATTGGAAATTAAATTAAATTAAATTAATTGCTTAGGATTTATAATATTAATCGTGATATAGAATATATAAATATATATATATTAATAATAATAATGATAATGATAATAATAATAATAATAATAATAATAATTAAGGTTCTCGTCGTGAAATCTTAATTTTAATCGTCGTAGAAAAGAAAATTTTTATATTTATACAAATAGTAGGGAAGAAAAAAAAAAAAAAAAAAGATTCAGTTTCAAATCGTAACACAAAAATTGCTTATTGAAAAAAAAAAAACATTATTTATGTTGTGTCTCGTGTTAGAGAATTTTTTTAAGATAAAAACAAAAACAAACACAAACGCAAACACACACACACAAACGCACGCATACAAACATGTGAAAGGAACAAGTGAAACAACAAACAAACAAACAAACATTCGATAAAAACATTATTGCGACTCTTATTATATATACATATATATGAAGCAGAAGAAAAAAGAAATGATAATAATAATTATTATTATGCGAAAGGGGTCCGACATGTTGTTTTCGTGTACTTAATTTTAAAAAAAAAAAAAATAATTTTTTTTTTCATTTTTTTGTGTTCGATATGTCGGTCCTTTTTTTTTTGTTTTCTTTTTTCTTCTGCTTCTTCTTCTTGATCATCATCATTTTATTTTAATGATGGTGATTGTAGTGTGTGTGACGTTGTTGCTGTTTTTGTTGCTGTTGTGTTTTTTTTTTTTATTTGTGAAAAATAATTTTTCTCCAACTGACGAGTGAGAACTTTATAAAATTTTAAAAAAAAAAAAAAGGAAAAATTGGAGGGAAAAGCAAAAAAAAAAAATTTCAATTGAGACGAAGAAATTTTTTTTTTTAAGTAATAATAATAATGATGAAAGGTGCTTCCGGAGAGTTGTATGACGTCACGAAGCGCCGAATCAACTAACGCCGTTTTGGAAAATTTTTTTCAATTTTTTTTTTTGTTTGTTTTTTTTATTTTTTTTGTATTATCATTATTATTATTTTTGTTTTGTAAATCGCTTTTAACGAACACGAGAGTATTATTTATAAGATGATGATAATGATGATGATGATGATGATGATGATGATGATCATTGTCATCATCAAAGGAGCACCGTAATTGTTGTGGAAGCGAAACATTTTTTTTTTTAATGTATTTTGTCACGGTAGGGAAAATTTTTTTTGGTTTTTTATTTTTTTTTGGAGATTTTAGTTTTTATTGTCTTTATTATTATTATTATTATTATCATTATTATTTTTATTGTTGATACAAAACGGCACGTGATGAAACAAACAAAAAAAAAAAAATTCAAAAAGTCTTCACATCGTATTTGCTATAAACGATAAAAAATATATAAATATTTAAGAAAGGAAATTTTTTTTCCTTTGACCGTCAACTGTTTTACTTCCGGTTTTACTTCCGGTTATACTTCCGGTAACGGAAAATTGAAAAAATGAGTTAATGAAATGAAATTTTCTTTATTATTATTATTATTAATATTATTTATACATATGTATGCGCGTGTATATTTTTTATTTATTGGAAAATGTTTATGCGTTTCGGGTTAATTTTTTTTTTTGGCTCCTTTCACGCACGCCGCGTAATTGCGGAGGTGAAGAGAGAGAGAGAGAGTGTGTGTGTGTGAGCGTGCGTGTTCTCGAGCATATGTAAATATTATTATTATTATTAAGAAAAAAAAAATTATTGATAATAGATAATAGAAAAAAAAAAAAAAAAAAGTTTTTTTTTACGATCGTCTAAAACGTGATAATAAAAGATGTGAAGGCTTATTAATATTAAATAATTTTTTTTTTTTTTTTTTGTTTTTGTCATTTCGTTTTGGGGGTTAAAAAGGAAAAAAGGAAAAAAGGAAAAAAAAAAGTGCCTTTGACAATAATTTTGTTTTTTTTTTTTTTTTTTTTTTTTTTTTTTTTTTTGTTTTCGTTTTTTCAGTGTGTTTAAAAAAAAAAAAAATGAAAAATGAAAAAGAAAATGTAAGAAAATCTTTTGAAACCGATGATGGCCGCTTTTCCTTTGCGTTTAAATTTTTGATTTCCTTTTTTTCCTTTGTGTTCTTGCCTTCGCCCCCGACCCCCCTCTACTTCCCCCCGCACGCCTGAGGATAAAATTTTTTTTTTTCAATTTGGGATTCAGAAATGTTTGACACGTTAGAGTAGGAAACGCATTTGGGTGGGGGGGGGTTCCTTTGAATTTTGCTTTTTTTTTTGTTTTGTTTTTGCTTTTGGGTTTAGAGGGCGGCGGGATTTTTAGGGGTTGTAAAATGTTTTCTTATTTTTTTCCATTTCTTCTGTATGGTGGCGGCAGCGGTGATGGGTTGGATGGGGGTGGGAGTTGGGGGTTTTTACAATTAATTATCCTTTGAGAACCGCCATTATGAGCATGAGCTTTTTATATCTTTTTTAAATTTCCTTCTTAAGTTTACATGAATGAATGAATGAATGAATTTTTTTATGAATGATATTTGGCGATTGCTTTTGATTTTAAACTAAAGATGTCGCTAGTCGCGAGTCAGGTATGACGCGCGTGTGAAAGGTTTTTATTCCTTGCTTTCCTTTTTCCGAACGATTCTATTTTCCTTCCTTTGCATTTTGTATAATAATAATAATAATATTACTTGCATTTAATTATTTATTCGTACACGTGTACAAACACACATAAACAAACGCTCGGGTGGGTAATGCATAATAATAATCATAATAATAATAATAATTTATGTAATTTTTTTTTAATAACTTTAACAATAAAAAAAAAAAAAAAAAAAAAATTGCCTGGAATAATTGAAAAAATTGTGTTTGTTTGTTTGTTGTCGGTTAAATTTGAATAAAATCACGTGCAATATTTTTTTATTATTATTTACATTTATTTAAAAAAAGGGGAGGGAGAGGGAGGAGGAGGGAAGGAGGGGAAGTAGAAAATCAATGAAAATTTTTTTTTAATAGAAATTTTGGGATTTGTACTAAAATATTATTATTATTATTATTGTAGGGAATTCAAGTCAATTTTTTTTTTTTTTTAAATAACAAAACATTAACAGGAGTGTTTGACACACGTGATTATCATTATTATTATATCACTATTGATTTATTTTATTTTATTTTTTATTTTATTTTTATTTTATTTTAATTTTGTTTTGTTTGTTTTTTGTTTGTTTTTTAACCTAAAAGAAAAAAACTTGAATTTTTCAGCGAAAGTAAAAAATTTCTAGAAAAATTAAGAGGATGATATCATGTTCGTAAGATGATGAAACCCGTGCCAGACAGAATGTCTTTGGAATTGGTTTTTCCAGAAAACGAAAAAAAAAAAAAAAAAAGAAAAAAAGGGAAAAAATACTAACAGTTGTTGTTATGATAATAATAATAATAAAATAATTAATAATTTTTAAAAGAAAAGGAAACAAGAACGAAACGAAGACATTTTTTTTTTTTTTTTTGGAGGGGGGGATTTTTGTTGTTTTTTTTTTGCTTCTGCTGCTGATTGATGATGATGATGCTGCAGTTGCTGCTGTCGCATCATTGCATCGTCGCCATTTTTTAAAATCTTTGAAATTTTTCTTCCGTTTTTCTTTCATTAATTTAATTTTTTTTGTTTTATTTTAATTTATTTTATTTTATTTTTTTTGTTTGTTAATAATAATAATAATACTGCTACTACTACTACTACTACTATTACTATATTTACTAATAATAATAAGAATAACAACAAATGGGGGAGGAAGAGGTGTGTTTTGTGTGATTGTAACAGAGTGCACGCGTGCGTACTTTTTATTATTATTATTATTTGTAATTAAATGAATTTATTGTAAGACTTATATATTTTGTGAGAAAACGAGTGCGAGCGCGTGCGTTTTTACTTATGTATATATATATATATATATTAATTGCATACGTATGTATATATATATACACGTGAACATTCACTTCCCGTTTGAAATAGACAAGAACTTCCTGTTTTTTTTTTTTTTTCTGATTGATTGATTAAAAATAAAATAAAAAAAATTTTTTTTTTTTTTGTTTTGTTTTTTCCTCCGACTAATGTTAAATTTAAAAATGAATATAATCAATATATAAGACGATTGAAACTAATAATAATAATAATAATAAAATAATTGTTTGAAAAACCTTTTATTTATTTTTTTTTTAATCATTAACTTATCAATTAATTTTTCGGAATTTTTTTGTTACTAATAATAATAATAATAGTGTTTAATAAAATAATAAAAGTCATCGACGGAATGCGAAGAAGATAAAGAAGAAGAAGAAGAAGATGAAGATGATTGAAACAAGATTGGAATAAAAAAGGTTTTTCCTTTATTTTTTATGTAATTTTTTTTCTTTTTCTATTTACACGAAACAAAATCGACATTTTGATGTTGTTTTTGTTATTGTTGTTGTTGTTTTTGTGTCAGGTAAGAGATTTTCGTTTGTTATTTTAAATGAAAAAAAGAAAAACAAAATATTTTTATGTACTATATATATATATATACGTTTTTCTTTTATTTTGAAACATTACGTTCGGATGATGATGATGATGATGATAATGAATGCGGTGAGTAACGAAATAATTGGAAAAATATTTAAATCAAATGCCTAATTATATTTTTAAAAAATGCGTTCGTTTGTATCTTACCTGATAAGGGAATGATAACGACGACGTATTTAAAAAAAAAAAATATGTATTTTGAATACATGTGCGTTTCGCAAATTGCCGGTTTAAGAAACACAAATTTCCTCGC